TTTTTACAAGGGTATATGGTGATAAGACAAGGGACAATGGCTTTAAACTGAAAGAGGGTAGATTTAGATTAGATATAAGGAAGAAATTCTTCACTCTGAGGGTGGTGAAGCACTGGAACAGGTTGCCCAGAGAACCTGTGGATGCCCCATCCCTGGAAGTGTTCAAGGCCAGATTGGATGAGGCTTTAAGCAACCTGATCTCTGGAAGGTGTCCCTGCCCATGGCAGGGAAGGTTGGAACTAGATGATCTTTAAGGTCCCTTCCAACCCAAACCATTCTATGATTCTATGCTTATTCAATATAATTATCCCAAAGGCACCAAAAGCTGCATCGCTGTAAGTAGCCATGCTCTATAATCACTGCAGCAAGACTAATTAGCCTAAGCAGAGGGCTACACTCACAGATAAACTGCTTTGATACCTTAGCTACCTTGTTTAGTAAAGGACCCTTGATACCTCTAAACACAACCACATTGTGAAATATTAAAAAGACCCACCATATGTATCCCCGGAGGGTGGCAAAAGACAGCCAGCTCGTGTTATTTCAAACTCTGCCACTGGAACGGCAGCCTGTTACCCTTACACAGATATCAACATTAATCTGATCTTACCATAAAAAAAGAAAAAGAAAGCAATGCAGTAATGTTGACATGTCAAAGGTCGAATTCTGTAATCTGGCAAACATGCAAGGTTTCCACCTCTTTGTAATAAGGGGTCAAAATCTGGTCCTCATTTTGGACCTTCCTGCTGCAGTTCAACATCGAACTCTCCTTCAAACCACCTTGCAATCAATTTTTTCTTTCTGACTTCCTTCCTCGCCTACTGATTTCCTTCACAGTCATCTCTGACACTTCCCTTGCACTGTTTTAGCTTTCAGATTTCCTCTGAGGACCAAGCAGCTCAAGTATAAGACCCTTATGCTCTAAATTACGCTGCCAGCAGAGCTAAAAAGGTCTGTTTTCCAGGCTACCTGGAGCAGTCAGGTATAGGCCTGGCTGAATCCTGGAGAAAACACTAAAACACCAAAATAGGTTAGAGCAATACTATCTAGTTAAATATATATAATTTATAAGGTCTCTTTACTACCTAAATAATACATATCAACATCTGGAAATGTTGGACATATCAACAATACGGAAATACATATCACACAAATCTGCATTTTTTGTGTTCTGAGGAGGTATAAACAGGTGATTTAACTTGAATGGTTAATGTGTAACAAACCATATGGTAACTGCAACTGTTTGTCCAACAAACTGAAAACAAAAAAAGACGGAAACAGACACCTTGAGCTTGCAGGAAATACAGCCTATGAGTTTCGAGGACTTGGGTTTTTTTTAACCTACTTTCATGGCCCTCCTGTAAATCAAATATAATTCATTACTAATCCCACAGAAAGAACTCGAAGATTTTCCTCTGCCTCTCTGCAAGAAGCTGCCCTGTTTGTGCCTCTGCCCTGTAACAAACAAGATAAAGGAGACGTTTATGCCAAAGTAATCATTCTAAATCTGTTGTTGTGACCTCTAAGCCAAATTTTCTGCATTACGTGCCAGTGCCTCAAATAAAACAGTACATTTTTTTCCTGACAACTGAACCCTGTAACGTATGCGTAACTCTGCTCAACATATTGCTCTATCATTTATATCTGAACATATGTGTATAGGAAACGGAGGGTGTAGGAAATTTGGCACCATGAGGTATCAACTTCCCTCCCCTCCATAGACCCTCTCAGTTTTCTGTATCTGGGAAACTAATGCACATTTGGACACAAATCCAACTACAAACAAAATTAGAAATCCTCACTAAAATGAAAACAGCAGGACAGCGGATATAAATATCTGGAGGACAATATGCTTTACCTTAATAGGTAATTTTGTGTATTTTATTTATTGGAGTAGAGACATTCAGCATTCCACCAGAGCAGAAATTTTAGGATTGAAATCACGAGCAACCTTGACTTCTCAAAGACAAGATTGTACTGGATGGTGTCCAAGATGAACTCCACTTGACCTTAAAAGCACTACTTACTTTTCAGCTGGAAACCAGAGTTTCCACATAGGCTGCTCAAGACATGCTTTGCAGCTACACAGGCAACACCGTCCAGACAAATATTTATTTTTCTGGCAGATAAAACTGGTCTCATCATATTTACTGCAGCGACACAGCTTACAGCAAGCCTGCGAAGAGGCACGCGCTTCCTCTGGGTAAGGACAGAGCTCTGTGCCCTTCGTTCGCCTCGCGGCCGATGGTCCGGGGATCAGGAAACCAACTCGGTCTGTGAAATGGGGGATTCCCCTCGAGTACTTTTCCTCCCCGAGCACAGGGCAGGACGGCGTGTTCCAGCCCAGGCACCAGTTAAGCAGCTGCAACGCAAAGAGGTCCGATGAATCGGAAAGTCAGCCCAGCTACGCCTTTGCAAGCACAGCAAAACCGGCTGCTGGGGCGGAGGGGAATACAAACACCCTCCCCATGCCTCCCGAGCCCCTGGAGCAAACAACTCCGGCACAAAGGGCCCTGCAGACCACAGCGGCAGGGCAGGAAACCAGCCCCTGTGCTGGAGGGTTTCTTGTGAGCCTCGTCACTCGTGGAGGTGTGCACACGTGAGCGGAACACCGCTACTGAGGCGGCCTCCCTCTGGCACCCTCTGCTTCCAGTACCAGCAGTCCCACGTCACCACACACCCTCCTCTCCATCCATCCCGTCCGGCCACTGCTGTGCCCAGCTCCCATCTTAGCACGGCCGCTGCCCCAATGGGAAGGACTTTGAGCTTTCATGAGTAATCGCTCTCCTGCACGTAAGAAGCCAAAACAGGCTCTCGCTTACACTCCTGTGCCTTCCATTCCCCTTTTTTATCTCATAAGGAAATACAGTATTTTCTATTCAGAGAAATATTATTATTACTCCTCTCCTTTCTTTTTTCTTATTTTTAACTAGCATTTTTACTAGCTTTTCTTTTACTTTCCATTTGAAACCCTTTGCTCCAGCACATCTCCAAAGAGATTCCTTAGTTACAGCCTGAGTAAGAGAGAAAATTATCTTAATTTTGCTAAACTTGGGTTTTTTCCATCTTTCTAGTCTCACCTGACACCCAAACTTTTTCATCTTGCATTGGAAACCTTTGGAAAAGCCTTTTAGTAGCTATTTGCTGCGTATTCTCTTCCAGTCCTTACCAACCCACCTCACTGGAAATGGGATTAAGCTATTTTTTAAACAAACACAAACAAGCATAAACAGAAGCAACCACTGAAACCTCTGCAACCACATGTATCTCCCTAGCACTGGTCTCCAAATAAATATGGTAAAATCCGTTCTAAAAGGAGGATCAAAAGTGTTTCTTTCCAAAGCACCAGCTGCACAGGAGTAATTTTAGAAATTTAAGACAGCTTGAATCTGCTGTTGAATTATTTTTAACAGGAGCTTGGTGTGCAAGGGCAGTTTGGACGCTGCCTGGCCACGGAGGGAGAGAAGTCCCTGAAGCAAGGCCCCAGCTGCAGCCAGGAATCCTGTCCACAAGAGAAGATTTCAAATTAATTCATAAGAGAGGACAAAAGAGTGAGCTGCTGACTTCTGAGCCTTTAGGAAACTGCCACCACGTGCAAACACCACTTTTTCTTTTCAGTTTTTCCATCTTTAGTCAGACGACGGTGCTCCACTGAAAACACAGGTGAGGCAAGGCAGCTGGTGTTGGACAGCTGGGAAATGAGCAGAGTTCAAGGTTCAGCTATTATTAAAAAGCACACACATCTTTCTATATTTATTCCCACTTTACAGCTCCAAATAAAACACATGCAGTCCTGATGAGTTTACAACTTTAAATACAATGCAGGACAAAAACCCTAAGGCTGATCTGGGAAAACCAAACCGATACATACAAAAGTGCTAGAAGGATTATTACTATTTTCACTGCTGCCACATATACAGCCACATTTCTAAAAATACACTTCTAGCCCTAGCATTAAATGTAACAAAATAGAAACATCACTGTCTTACAAACACAGCCACGATTTGAAATGGAGCACCTGTTCCTCAGCCCAGTTCCATCATGGACCTCCTCGAAAAGCCGCTCAGGAGGATCCATATGTTGCAGCACGCTAAACGCACCAGCAAGCTTCAGGTGTGGGTCTGACAAGCAGCAGGGAACTCAGTGGGGTCAGCTGAACTATTTACCCCACTTCTTGGTCAGATTTCACAGGGTCGCTGCTCCCAGCCTGATACCTCTGGCACAATAACCAGCTCCCTCCCTGCAATAACCAAAAAACAAGCTGGCAGAGACATGCTCCTTGTCTCGGGGCATGGCTCCATTTCTCTGGAGAAAGTACAAGCAAGATGCGTAACTCGGGTCATTCATGCACTTAGATGCTTTGCCAGAGGTCCCTCAGAAGGGCAAAACGATTACTGCGAGTAAAGGTAACACACACAGTGAAAACACCGTGACCGGACCGGCCGCCTGAAGAGGTGTCTTGGTGCCCGCAGAGCCCGCGGCTGGTACCTGCACCCTGCCTGCGCGCTCGGCACGGCACCCACACGGCAGCTCTCCCTGAGGTCCGGAGACCGAAAAGCCAGAATGGCTGTAAAGTCTGACGCAACAAATTAAAAACCCCTAAATGTCAGGCAAGGCACATTCACTGCCACTCTTATAAGTAAAATAAGGGGGATTGGAACTAGATGATCTTTAAGGTCTCTTCCAACCCAAACCATTCTATGATTCTATTAAAAAACATAGCTGTAATGGAGAGGCAGAGGAATGAAAACAACCATCCCCCATACCAGAAGGCAGACAGCCGGCACAATCCAAAGTATCTTTTCTACATGCGTTGCAAGAATCTGTTCAAAAACAAACAGCAACCACCATCACCAAGACATACAGCTGCAGAAGACTCCAGCTGGCAGATAATTCAATAACTACCTTCCTTTTTTTCCCCTCTCTAAACCAGAAAAACATGAAGCACAAAGAGTTTGTCCCCGGTGGCACCGGTGACAGGTCAGGCCAGTGGTACTCACTGCAGGCTCCGCAGGTGAAGCAGCTGTCATGGTAGAGGTTGCCCATGGCCTGGCAAGCCTGGTTCGCTCCATACACCCCCTTGCTGCACTTCACGCAGGTGCCTGGAAGAGAGAGAATGAGACAGAGGTCAGATTGGGACCCAGCGGGGTGACTGGGGTTGCTGGCGGGGGAACCACACCTGCAATTCTGCATGGTGGCTCAGCTGCTTAGGACCAGGTGGTTCATTGTAGCCATAAGACATAGGTGACATCAACATCGCTCACCATGAGAGATGCTGTCAACAGCAGTCATGACGGTCATCAAACCTTCACAGTGAGAGCATTTTGCAAAAAAATAAACTGGACAACAGCAGCCCTGTTTGCCTACAGTGACATCTCTTTCCTTCACCCATTCATTCCCACAAACTTCATATACATTTAAAACCACTTAAAGACCCTCCCAAAAGCCTGGGTGGTAATAAGCAGTGCTCAGGGCTGTTCACGGATCAATAGTTTCTGCTACTTATTGCATAGAATAAGGTCGTTGGTTGCAACCAATGTGAGGAAAACACCCCTCTTCACTTAGCCCCTTTAAATCTTAATCAATTTCAGACCCTGCTCATGTCTGCTGAGTTGGACTGACTACGTGACACCTACTTCTCTTCCCTCTGTCAGCTACATTTGAACAGACAGACTCAATGTAGGTGCCACATATAGACCCATATCCTGCTCAGATGTTCTTCTTGCCTCTTGCAGGACAAGGCAAGAAAGAAGTCAGTTTTAAGGAGAGGATACCTGGTGGTGATGGCACCATCAGTCAAGGGGGTTGACTTTCAGGTGGCCCATGGGGTGAAGGAGAGCCAGGGCCAGGAAACATGGTCAACTACTGGCTATAAGCTGTCCCAAACACAAGTCCAGGCTTTCCTGCCACCACCATCACCTACAGATCAGGGTGAGCTCCGGAGCTCCAAAGGAGGAAGAAGATGACTGCGCTCAGCAGTTCAGCTGTCTCTTGCCAGCACAGCCAAGCACATTTCCACCAGCATCTGCCCCGGTGTGGGGCTCCAACCCAAAACCCAAGCCAGGCAGACAGTCTAGGGTGAGGATTTCCACCTCGCGAGGAAGCCACTGGGACCCTCCAGGCACAGATCTGTCTGATCGGGGCTGGGAATGGTGGCAACGGGGCAGATGCGTGACAGTGGTGGTGGGGAGGGACAGCAGGGAGAAGACTACCACTGGAGGTTTGCAAAGGGTGTTGTGTGTTCACCTAGGGCCTCTCAAATGTCACCACATTTCCTCATAAAACTATTGTTCTAATAGAGTAAGAAGTGACAACTGAGTGTCATGCCCTTGACAGCATCTGGTAGCAGGACCTGCTTCCTCCATCTTGCAGGGAGAAATGCAGCGAGGCTGTCCAAAACCACTATTAGTGGCCGGGAAGAGAAAGTCCTTATCCGAGGAAAATGACAAATCAAGCCAGTTTACTTACTTCAGGCACAATCCTGTGATTGCAACAGACCGGTTTTAAAGCAGCATCACCCTTTAACTACCTCTAAATGAGCAACTTCAATCCCTGTTTAAACAAATAAACACGAATCTACCCAGACAGATGTGCTTTTGTCTCTGGTCCAAGATGACCATGTACATGTGATTTCGCCTCCAGGCCTCTGCTTGCACCACTGCTCAGTCCCGTTCTCCCTGACTCTTAAAATTCCTCGGGGCAGGACTGTTGCTCACATCTCACTCCTACTGGACCAAGAAGAGGGACAGCATCATCTTGCTGGAGATCCTTAGTCATGCTGTGGTTAACAAAAATTCACTTTTTTGGGAGCCCCACAAGCTCCAGAGTAATTGGAAAAGTCTGGTGAAAGTTAGGAAGAAACCCAACATTCTTATGACAGCACTGAAAAGTAACTCCCAACTCCAGCAGCACCACGCTGGCAGTCCCAGGGTGGTTAACAATTTCTTCCTGCAGCTGATAGCTGCAGCCATCAGTTTTTATGCTACGGGGATATGGGGAGAAAACTGCTCAGGAGCCCTTTGCAGTAACACACATGCGGCTGCTGAAAACCAGATCCAGATCCTTCATTTTCCCAGAGCAGACCTGGCTCTCTGTGCTGCAGCTGCCTGCATGCATTCAACCGGCATGCTGAAAGCCATCCTAGTGCTGCTCCGAGCCCCACTCCACTCAGAGCCAGCGTCCAAACTGACACAAACCTGGAGAGAAGGCTGCAGAGAATAATTAGTTACTGTGTTTGTCCAAACCTGACCAGAACTGAAAGGCTAGCTTGGCTGCCGGCCCACCCCAGCATGCAGACTGGCACCAAGTTAGCAAAACTTGCTGGTTCTTTTCCAACTAAGTAAATTTATCTCCGTTATTTATTGAAAGAAACATTTTAAGAAAGCAAAAGATAAATCATGCAGGCGTTACAAAAAAAAAAAAAAGAAGGAAAAAAAAAAAAGAAAAAAAAAAGAAAAGACAAGACAAAGATAAAATTTGGCTTTTTAAATGGATGTGTTGTCCCCGGAATGCACACATTCAGCGGCAGCCTGAGGTGCCGTGCAATCGTCTGATGCAAGAGCTAACAGCTACTTTGCAAAATTCCCTCTTGACTACAGCGATGCCAAAAGGAAAGTTTTGAGAGCAGAAAACCTGCTGATTTTGCTGCTCAAAGCCTTCTTTCCACGACATTCACCAGGCTCTCCACAGAACCGATGTATTTATTGCACTGCAAGTGCTGCGTTTTTCCCCTCTCTGTGTCAATGAGCGGCTGCTCCAGAAAAAAATCGCCAGTGTGCTCCGATTTCCTCCTTTCCAGAAAGCAGCCAGGTGACACTGCATATGGATGAGCATCAAGAAGAAGCAGGAGGCGGAAGGCACAGCAGCAGCGTGCAGGCACAGAGCATGGCAAAGACACTGGCAGGCATCTAAAGCCACTATAAAATACCCTAACGCAAACCCCACATTGGGCAAAAATTGCCTCTGCTGTCTCCTGTCCATCTCATTTAAGTTTCAGAGCATAGGCACTGCCTGTGTTTTCCCCAACGGGACAGACAGTCGGGTGGATCCTGCAGGAGCTGCCTGAGCTCCTGCACCCTTCCCCAAATCTTCCTCCACCTCCCACCCCTTGACTGCCTCCACCATCCTTCCCCCTTGCTCCATCTCTCAGTACACACTCCGTTTCATTCCCTGCTTAACTCTTTTATCAACTTCTTTAAATATTTAGGACCTTAAAACATGGAAAACAAAGTCATGGAATGAAAGAGCTTTTAAAATAAATCGACAACATTGTTTGTAAAAACTATAAGGCAATAAATTACCCAACTATGTAATAACCAGCCATGCTATAAACATTTATAGATGTCCTGCAGCAAGGCTGACAATTGAAACATGGCACGATGGCAAATCTGTGTTTATGTTTTCACTTGTATCTGCTAAATCTTACTTGAAAGCCAATTAAATCTCGGTAGCAATTGAAATTCTACTAGAAATAAGTCTTTACTTCTCCCAAATACAATATTCTGAAGTATTTTAAGCCACATACTCGAGCCTTTATCTCTGACTCTTAGCCCACCTGGTCTGAAAGGGGATTAAAAAGGTGATTTTTTTTTTTTTCAATTGATTTTTCCTTTCTGCTCACTCCCTGCTGCTACAGTGATCCTGTTCTTTCAGCTTAGGCTACACAAGGAAGAAGCAATACCTGTTGCTGACAGCGGCCGGTCGCCGAGCTGGGCAACACGTGTGTGAAGCCAGCCTGATGGAAGGCAGCGCAGCACAGGCGGCATCCAACCCCATCCTGCCACAAAATGGGCTCCGCGCCCTGCTCCGCACCAGCTCCGATGACTACTTCCCGAAACACTGCTGAGCCTGCTCGCTGCAACCCAGCGCGTAGAGTTAAAATGTCAGCAGCATCGGTCCAGCCCCACATGCCACTGACACTAGTCAGCAGCTCTGGGTAATTTTCTTGGCATAGAGCAGCTTTTAGCAAAAAACTTCTGTCCCCAGCTCGAAGCAGAGGGATCCTGAGTAGCCATGGCTCAGCAAGAGGCCTGATTCCTGCACTGGGTTACCTTGCCGCATGTAACGAGCACTTATGCAAGCATCAATCTGAGCAGATATCTCCTCCAAAATTACAGCTTTTAACCTCAGATGATGTTATTAAGGAGAAATGAAAGGTTTCTCTTTTGCCACCGACGCACCACACATGCGCAGCGCTCGTAAATTCACGCTTGAGCACACAGGCAGAATGGTAGCCAGGTTTGGAAAGGGAAAGGGATGGAAATTGCTGATTTCGGCTCAATTTCTGCCGGCAGGGCAGCCTGGCCCCGGACAACAAAGAAACCTCTGTTCCCTTTCGCATCATGCGGCAAGTAACCGCCTGTGCTACAGCTGAGCGCCTGAACAAAGGGACCTTTGGGGCAGAGCTGGGACCGAAAACATGCCCTGTAGGCCACGTCCCAGCGCTCGCCCTACTCCATCTCAGTCCTGCAAACCAGAAGGAGGATGAACACTAGGAACAGCCTCAGCTCACGAGATCAAACGGGTCCGATGCAGACCTCAAGGGCTGTCAGAAATGAAAGCGAATCTGGCGCCCAGTCTGAAACGTCAGTCCCACCCTCAAAGTTCAACAAATGCGCTTCCATTTACCACCGGAATCAAAACCTTTAGAGATGTTTTTTCCTCTATGTGTTGCTATTTCATGCTCACCAGAAGGAGCTCAGTTACTTATCATATTCCACTCATGAAAATTTCAATGCAAATCATGCTGAACAGCAACATTTTCTGGGACTGGTCAGTATCATTTACTTCCACATGCCAGACACCATCTATCTACAAACCAAGAACGAAGTTATGGGTTTTGCCAGCAGCAACCTTGTTCTCAGCAGCATCCAGGACAGCCAAGCTTTCCTACATGTGCTCCTGGTTGGGTTTGCTAAGACCGTCACTTAATTTTAGAGGGCCAAATGTGTTGCTGTGCTGCTTCAGTGGTGAGATTTCCTTGCCACGTCAATCTGGTCCTGGATAAGAGGAATATAGTGGCAGGATAAGAGGGGAATTTGGTGGTATGGATCTGCATACATAGCTAATCTAGAAACAGCGCTCAAAGGAATAAGTCTATCCT